TCATATGGGCTAATTGAGTATAGTTATAAGCAAATATGAAAATGACATACTCATTTACTCACCAACCATGTACTGCTTCGCGAAATAACTGCAGCCTGCAAAAGAGCAATCCAAAAGTCAGAGACTGCTACCACCATGCTCAAAGTGTTAAGATAAAAAAAACAAACCTGTGCTCTCTAATCGTTAGCTGATATGTACGCAAAGTTTTTCCAAACAATCAAAAATAGTTGGCCAATATACAAACTAACCTCATTTTTTTCTTAAAGTCTTGAGATAAAAAAAAAACAAAAGTCTGCTCTCTAATCGTTGGATGAAATGTACGCAGACTTTTTCCAAGATTCCGAGCTACCTGCACAAATCATAGCAAGTATATACTTTTTAAAGACCCAAAACAACTGTTAAAGAGTATCTAGAGAAGAAACATTGATATATGGAAGCCCATTACTCTTTCTAAGTTCCAAAACTCATACTGTCATAATTTTATAGATAAATTTTCCGGTTTTAATCCAAAGAGATTCAAACTCAATCAAGGAAAAGGCTCATACATCTCTAGTCTTATCTATATTTCCAAATCTCCTAAGAAACACATGTGTGAATATTCTCAGCAATAGCAAACAGATGTGTGATTTATATATAGTAAAAATCAGATCCAATAGGAGAATTGTTGTTTCTTTTGAATACTTAGAAGCAAATATATTTTCACCTCTATAATAACAAACAAAGATCAAAAACCACAAGAAACAGAGATTATGATATTGATATTGAAAATGGTTTTGGAGAATGTGTTAGAGAATTTGGAGACTGTTACCATTCACCAAAAGATCATATAGATGTGTTATCGATCCTTGAGTTAGTGGTGATTCCCTTGTCTACAACAACAAACAGAGATCAAAAACCACAATGGAAGATAAAATATTGACAAATTGTCTGTCTCTGATTGCTTTCCAAAGGTCAACAGGTACAATTAGTTTCTGCAAAAGCCAACGATCATATGTGATCGAAGGTTCATAGAAAAAAAGCAGAATTGATTGAGAGGTGCCAGCTTAGTTGTCGGGGAAAAATTTGAATTTTTTTTTTTTTTTTTTTTTTTTTTTTTTTACGGGATTTCCCTTTTTT